ACGTACCTGCCCCTGAGATGGAGATCGAATGAAGACGGTCATGGAGGAGGAGTAGGGTGCAGGAGGAGGAGGAGGAGGAGGGGAGAAGGTGATGGAGTAGGAGGAGGAGGAGCTGAGAAGTTGATGGAGATTGAATGAAGACGGTCATGGAGGAGGAGTAGGGGGCAGGAGGAGGAGGAGGAGGAGGGGAGGAGGAGGAGTGGAGAAGGTGATGGAGATCGAATGAAGGTCATGGAGGAGGAGGAGGGGCAGGAGGAGGAGGAGAAGGAGGAGGAGAGAAGGTGATGGAGTAGGGGGAGAAGGAGGAGGAGGGGAGAAGGTGATGGAGGAGGAGAAGGAGGAGGAGGAGGAGGGGAGAAGGTGATGGAGGAGGAGTAGGAGGCACCTCCTCTCCTCCTGCCTCCTACTCCTCCTCCTCCCCTTACTCCTCCTCTTCCTCATCCTCCTCCTCCTCCTCCTCCTCCTCCTCCACCACCACCACCATCTACTCCAACACCTTCTCCCCTCCTCCTCCTCATCCTGCCTCCTACTCCTCCTGCCCCTCCTTCTCTTACCCCTACTCCAACACCGTCTCCCTTCCTCCTCCTCTTCTACCTACTCCACCACTTTCTCCCCTCCTCCTCCTGCCTCCTACTCCTCTTCCATTACCTTCTCTCCTCCTTCTCCTCCTCCCTCCTCCATCACCTTCTCCCCTCCTCCTGCCCCCTCCTCCTCCTCCATGCCCTTCTTCATTCGATCTCCATCATCTTCTCTGCTGCTCCTCCTCCTCCTCCCCCTACTCCATCACCTTCTCCCCTCCTCCTCCTCCTGCCCCCTACTCCTCCTCCTCCCCTCCTCCTCCTTCTCCTCCCCCTACTCCATCACCTCCTCCTCCTGCCCCCTCCTCCATGACCTTCTTCATTCGATCTCCATCACCTTCTCTGCTCCTCCTCCTCCCCCTACTCCATCACCTTCTTCCCTCCTTCTCCTCCTCCTCCTCCTGCCCCCTACTCCTCCTCCATGACCGTCTTCATTCAATCTCCACCTTCTCCCCCCTCCTCCTCCCCCCTCCTCCTTCCCCTACTCCATCACCTTCTCCCTTCCTCCTCCTCCTCTTACTGCCCCCTACTCCTCCTCCATGACCTTCTTCATTCGATCTCCATCACCATCTCTGCTCCTCCTCTTCCCCCCTCCTCCTCCTCCCCCTACTCTATCACCTTCTCCCCTCCTTCTCCTGCCCCCTACTCCTCATCCATGACCGTCTTCATTCGATCTCCATCTCAGGGGCAGGTACGTTTATGTAAACACAGGGTACATATATGCTGAGAAGATACAGGTCTGGTACACTTGTGTGTACATATACGTACCTCGGGTACATATCTGTAGTACCTGATACGACAACGACCCATTCAGCGTTACTTTGTGGACTTAATATATGATAAGTGTCCCCAAATCTGCCCTACGTAAAACTCTGTAGACATATTTATATATCCCATATGTTGCATTATACAATTATTTCATGATTGCAAGGAATAAATGGAGTTTTGTGGACCAAGAAAAATCATTATTTTTTTATCTCGAAAAATTGATTTTACGAGGTTCAAGGAACTCTGTTTGCTGAACAACCAACAATGTTTTGTTGTATGTAAAATCAAGAGGAAATAATACAAGGGAGTATGACTATATGACATTTCTCGATCACGAGAATAATGAATTCGCCTGAAGCCATAACCTACCCATTATTTATTACGTGTAAATCAATAAACAAGAATGCAAACGTTACACTGAACATTCATTCAGACTTTCCTCTAATCTTTTGCCTGCAAGTAATCACAATCCAGATGTGCAGACTCAAACGTGCAAGGTTTGTGAGAAATTCTTGCAAACCATTGCCCTGCAAATTAGCTAACATAATTTTATGGCAATGTCTAACACCTACAGGCCAACAATTACATAGAAATTCTTCATCTCATTGTGGGTGTTTTTACCATCTTTACATTCTCTCAAATATGATATGATGTTCCTATACACTGTTTCAAACCTACGTTTGACGCACATTGTTAGCCATCTGTGGTGAGAACTAGTGTTTATGCTATGTGGCAGCACTGCTCTGTGGACAACATTGAGTTTCAGCATGTAATACTGGTCTTTGTTTTATATGGCACATGTCATGCCCATATGTCATGTCATGTCATGTCATGCCTGGATTTTGCAACGTTTGAGTACCAATTTGCACCTAGAATGTGTATTGTACATATTGGTTTTAAGTTATAGTATTATGGTATCATTAGTTTTTGTAATTATAAAAACTAATTATCATATAATTTAATTTGAATGGTCAATAATAATAATATCTGCATAGTCAAGTTGATTATTTAAGAGTCTATCTATAAGACTTACAGCAAGAGTATCATTTTTAAGCAATTCTTGAAATGAAATTGACATCTACTCCGTTTTTATTTAGAATATATGGTCATACCATGAACATATTTATCCCATAGAGTATCAGGGGCGTAGCCAGGATTTTCAAAGTTGTAGGCACGACTATCTGAGCGGAGCGCCACCATCGGTTGGCGCGGAGCGGACAAGAAAATTTTTGGTTTTACAAACCCCCAGATGGCCGGAAACGGCCCTTCCCGAGTGTTCATTCTGGTTCCCTGGCCTCTTGCTAACTTGAGACACCTCATTCAATATCACTTTTAAACCCAAAAAACAAACGAGTTAAAATAGTGTTACGAACGAGTTAAAATGTTAAAAGACTGACAAGATCGGATCCTAGTCTTTTTCGGCGGGTAGAGTGTTGAATGAAACGGCACGCGATAGAAATGACAGCCTAGATGACAGAAGAATAGGTCACCTAATTTAGCCATATTCTTGCTACGTTCATTTCAATAGTTTTTCCTGTCTAGACTCTTAAACTCGTCCAGCAAGCTTATGGATTTGAATTATGGGCGTTTAAAAAAAAAAGATAACTTGGCCAAAAAAAGTTCAGGCCCGGGCCTACAGTGCTACATACTGGCTACGCCCCTGAGTATGTATATGTTGATGATCATAGTGGTTAAAGGGGTTATCGTAATCAATATTTCATAGGTGTAAGTGAAGTGCAATGAATTTTTATACAACTGCCTTTTCGCCAACAATCAACATCTAACAGTTATTTAGATGGTGCTCACATGAATGTTTTGGTAAATTGTCCTAGAATTTGTTGTTTGCATGTGCAATGTTTTGTGCTCATTTTTTCTTATACTTATATATGAACTGTTTACTACGTTAGAGTATACATGTATTACAGTGTGTATTACAGTATTACAGTTACACGTGTAGACAGACAAAGTCAATATTTGTTTGTTTAAATTGAAAATTGTATATAATTGTACAAAATACTTGTTCATAAAAAATTGTTATGCACATGCACAAACCTATCTATTTTAGCAGCACTACATTTTGTAACAAGAAGCTGATCGTACTATTTAGTAACATTGTAATGAAATCAAACCTCAATGCATTATTGAACACAACTGATGAAATATATATGCAACAATTAATCCTATATAAACTTTTTACACTATATAAGTGTTCATAATTTGAAATGGAAAAAATACTGGAGAACATAAACGAGTCACCGAACCCAAACGAATCACTATTTTGCTATTGTGCAAGTCACAGTTGCAAATTTTGACCTTGATTTTGATAACAATAAAACGTATATGAAATGATTTCTACTAATTTCGGACATTTGAGAGTAATATAGCAAGATGAATCGACCTTCTTTGCCACACTTTCATGAGCGGGAAACCAATCAACATCAGCCAGAACAGAAAGCAACCTTTTTTTATATTATACAAGTGTATTCTACACTAAATCTGTTTCCTTTTCAATGGCAGATACTGTCAGCCTTATCAGCTATAACAAAAAAGGATTGACTGAGCAGATAAACAAAAGGTTTACAGCACTACAATCACTTGCATAGGTATATGCCTTATATAGGTATGCATACAAAAATATTTCACTACTTTTCAAATAACCACCTAACATTTTGTAAGCTAATAATATGTCTATTCTATTCTAACAAATTAAGCTTCCATGCAGTCCACTTATCAGGTATACCACCCCACTGGTCTGTGCATATAGTCTATTACACCAGTGCAGCCATCGTCTTTATATTCTTGCACTGAATGCTGTACAGATTCTTCCCTACCAGTAAACCTATCATCCAAATCGATCAGCTCTGGTTTCTGTGTAGAGTCTATCCTACCGGTCCACTTCTTCAATCTATCTTCCTTAACATGACATTTAGTATTCATATCACCTTGAACTGACTTTTGTTGATGCCATGACTTATCAGACCACCTATCACTGGTATTATTTTGACTTGATTTTGGCTCATGGTGTTCAACCCGCCTATTATGGGAACTAGTTTCACTTTGCCACCTATCATGTGTACCAATGTTTTCTATCTTTGCCTCATTCCATGTGCTGTCTGACCCTCTATCATCAGTGTTGCCTTCACGTGATCTTGGTTCATGCCATGGCTCATCCAGCCATATCCCATCTGCACCACTCTGATCAAATTTGGGCTCATTCCATGCGTTGTCATAGCCTCTACCATTACTGTTGCCTTCAGGTGATCGTGGTTCATGCCATGGCCTATCAGGCCAACTATCACTTGTATCACGTTGATCGAACTTTGGCTCATTCCACCTGCTGTCAGAGCCTCTGTGATCACTCTTACCTTCACGTGATCTTGGTTCATGCCATGGCCTTTCTCGCCCCCTATCATTTAAACCACTGTTTTTGTTGGACTTGGGCTCGTGCCATGAACTATGTTCATTCCATGGCCTGTCCGGCCACCCACCATCGGTGCGACTTTTATCGATGCTTGGACCGTGCCAAGAGATGGCATGCCCCCTATCACTAGTATCACACTCATTGGTTTTTCCTTCATCCCATGATTTGTCCAGCCCCCTATCACCAGTAGCACATCTACTTGATCTTGGTTCATGCCAGGTCCTGCCAGGCTCTCTATTATCAGCAGTACCTGGAGCTGACCTTGGGTTATGCCATGCTCTGTCATGCCTTTTACTACCTCGACCTGACCTTGATCTATTCCATCCCTTGTCAGGCGACTTAGCATTGGGAACCGTCTCACCTGATCTAGCCTCATTCCTTGTTGTGTCACAGTCATTGGTATAACTTTGACAAGACTTTAGCGTATTCAATTTACTGTCAGACCATCTACTACCAGTATCACGCTGACCTAATCTTGTCACACGGCCTCCACAATCTGTTTCCATGTCATCACCTGAACAGTGATTTAATGGCCGATTGGTGGGTGTGCTAGGCGAGGCATCTCTGTCATTCTGTTGCATCCTCGGAACATCAGTGTTGCCGCTCACAAAATGGCCGCTCCAGTCTTCCAGCTCAACACCTGCAGGTGGGATAGCATTGGGCAGTTCTTCTACTCCATCATCAAGTGGATACCGGTGATCACTATGTCTGCCATCACGTGATTTACGCCCATGGTTAGACTGCAGTGGGCTGTTGGACAATATGCCTTGCCTGTCTGCGCTCACTGCTTGGTACTGGTTGACCGAGGAGGTATGCGACGGCAATGAAGTTGTATTTGGATTACTACTATCAACACATGGCAATGCAGACTTTAGCGCGCCATGTTCGAAGTCAGGTGGGGACCTTAGTAGGCCAGAAGAGGTATTGGTTTCTGTGTGCGAGGGAGTAGCAAGGAATCCAACAGGAGGCTTCAGCAAGCCGTCCACATCCATTTGACGCACAGGAAAGTTGGGTCTCTGCATAATCACACAGTCCTGGTCAGTTGGAATGACTGGCCTTACAGGTACATCCATGAGTGAGGGCAAGCTGCTGGCAGATACAGGCAGACTCTGCACACTATGACGATTTTGTGTATGCCCTGGCCCAGGAAATCTCCTTTGCCCAACAGACCATTGGTGACCTGTTCCACGTAGATTTCTCACCCTCGACTTGTTACCGTGGTCTTTTACCATTCTATTTGTGTGGCCGGCTGTGAAGGCTTTCTTCTGGATATCAGTGTGATGTGTTCCTCGAAAGATGACCTTCTCCCCTGACTGCTTGCTTAGTCCTTTCATTGTTTGTGAAACGCGATTGCTACTGCCTGCCACAATTTCTTGTTTAGTCGGTTTCATCTTATTCCGGGTCACAGCCATCATTTTCACACCTGTTTATCAAAAAGTGTTCGATTAATACACAGCCCACTGAATTTTTGCTTTGGTTCACATATATATATATATGTGACTTATATTATAATTATGTTTTAGTATTAGTATGGGCATTAGTATAAGGTGGTCAGTCTATTTACTATCACCACCTACGTACCCATCACCCATATAGCAATTATGATAACAATGGGTGATACGTAATGCTTGACAGTGGTAGCCATATTAGTTATTCTGGCAATGACAACTTCATGCAGTGTGATTTTTTATTCTTTTCATTATTCTACCAGGTAGGTGAATGACTGTCATAACATGCCACAATCAAACAGATACAGATACGTTTAGCTAGTACATTAGATCGGTTTGCCCGTGGCTCACACATCTCTCAGATTAGTGCTCCTATTAGAACCAGATACTTGACATCCGTAAAATATCGAACACAAATTTACAAATGTTTAGAAATGTAGAGCAAAATTCTATACTTTTTGCTGCCAGTGAAGAGCTTTCAGTTTAACTCATTTGTTTATTATTACATTACTGTAGTAAACGTTATCATATTTCTTCTTTTGTACTTTTAGATTCAATTATATTTTGGTTCATAAAAGAACCCAAGCAGTGCTTGGTAACCCCACTAGTTAGTCACACATTTAACTTTTTTATAACAAGATAGCTTTTATAATAGCTTCATGCCTACCCGTTTTTGACCGCATGATCTCCAGCATGTACTGGCTATCTTGCAGCTGCAGTAACTTTGTAAAAGCTCTCCCAAACAGCTCCTGCCGTAGCTCCCTTCTCAGCTGCTCAGACGTTTTGCACTCTGGCTGGAACTCCAACCATGGCACCAATTGGCTCGAGGCAATGAGGATTCCACTCAGCAAGACGTGCATCATGACACATTCCTGAAATGGACGCAGGCCATCTGGTTGATTACACATGCGTTTACATAATGGGCAATGCAAGTTTCCTTTTACATATATCTGTGTACTCCAGTGAAAAAAATACACGGGGGCTCGGGGCGATTTAGCCCCCGAAATGCCAAAAAGAGCCCCTGAAATGCCAAAAAGAGCCCCCGTAAATTTGCAGAGTTCAAGGCAAACCAAATTTTAGAGTGCTATTTTCATGCACGCGAGCTTGAAAAGTAGCCCCCGAAAAATAAATAATATTTTTTTCCCTGGTGTACTCTGCAAGTGACAAACACATAGCTTCATTAGTCACTGTTGTTTGAGGGCAGATGGATTCTCAGACCATTGTATTAACTTAATTTAAAGTAATATGCCTAGGAAGAGGAGGTTTTACTATTATTTACTCGGACACAGACTTATTACGTGCTCATTTATTGTCCCTACTTCAACTTTACATGCTACCACAATCCTTGCTTAAACTGCGAATTGCAAACACACGTGCTTATTATACCAACACATCAAGGAACGTGATAGGTTTACCTTGCCTAACATATCTTTAACATCTGATACGAAACTGATGTCCAGATTCATAGACTTGACTGTAGCAGTGAATAGACCTGGTATATCACGAGCAGCAATGTCTGTGGAGGACTTTATGAGTGCTTGTGCCAAATGCTGTAACCATTTCTTATCCAAAGCAAGCTCACTGGCATCATCCATATGCACTGCACAACCAATTTAACAAACAATAAACTCATTGCCATCACTCTTGCAATGAGGAAATAAATTATTTAAGTGAAAACATTAGTGCAATTTTAATCATACTAGCAGACAAGTAAGTGACAACTTAATTCATATGTGCATTTTGTATTGATCTAGTAAACCTTTGCGTTAAAAAAACATTCCATAGATGAATAGTAACATGTGCTGCATCAAGATAAACTCGTCAGTACTCTACATATGTACTCATACCTTGCTCAGTAACAAGATTTCCGGGGCTGGCACCTTCAGCGACTGACGGGTTTGCTCTGTCTGCAAACAATGTCATGCTGCGGCTATCCTGTGCCACCTTTGACGACACCTGATCCACATTACTCCTCCCATTTGAATTCTGCTGGATGCCTTCTTTATTTTCGAAACTTTCAGACGTAAACTTTCCATGTAGGGTAGCCTGGGTGGGCGACCTTTGATGTTCTCTTCCAGATAAATCTATGTGAGGCAGAACATGGTTAGGCACATTGGGCACAGCTGAGCTATGGGGAGCTCTACACTCCTCCCCTGCCATGCCTGGACCTGTGCCCTTGTGACCAGTCACCTCCATGCAGATTGCAGTAGGTGACACATCGTTGGCACTGGATGTTGCAGCCAAGTTACAAGCCATTCCATGGCTCTGAACAGATGTCCACCTCTCCCACTGACCGCGCACAAATTCCGGTTCGTCTCGTTCATCCTCAGAGGACGGCAGTCCCTGCCAGGTGTCACAGGGGTTGCTTGCCAAGTTCTCATTGAAAGCGTCATCTTCGTAGTACGAGTACCTTTGCCAAGCATCAGATGTATCTATATTCCTACCTGCATCAGGTATCACACTATAGTTTTGCTCTGTCTCTATCATCTCCTCTCCAGACGGATCCACCTCTTCTCTGAACTGAGTTATGTTTTCCCAGTCCTGATTGCCAGCTATTCCTATATGTATATTTGCAGTCTCGTCACCAACATGTGTTGTTACATTTGACCGTGCCACGATACTGCATGATGGAAAAGCTGATGACTCAACTTCCTCAGATGATGTTTTGCCGGCCAATTCTCGTTGTTGTTTCTGTAGTGGTATAACCCTAGGAGACTCTTTCACCTCCATGTCTATCTTTTGCGTTCTGCATACGGGAATGAATCCAGCGTAGTGCACTGGGTCAGTAGCAGATGATAGTGTCTCGCTATCCTTCGAGGAAAATTCGACTACCGACTCGCTGATTCGCTGAGTTGCAATCTCATCACTCTGTTGTTTCAGCCTCCCCTGAGATTTAATGATAGTCACGGTCGGTACCACATGCGGGCTGCTGACACTGCTCACAGGGGCACTGATTCTAGCATGAGACATCTGTCGAGATCTCGCTTGCTCCGGAATCGAATCCTGACAAATGATCTTCCGTGGCACTGGTTGGTTGTGCTCACGGGGCAGCGCGTCAGCACACCAGTGCAGTCTACCTACCACAGCTATCGTCGGCTGATGCGTGACAGATTCGTCGGCGTCCCTCTTTGAACCATGACCATCTGACTTTTTACAAGCCGCTTTCACCCGGTCTTGGGATCGTACTGTAATACACTTCTTACTGCTCGATGCTCCTGTGTCAGCCACAGTCAGAGTAGGACTCATCCGTGTTAAAGAAGATCTGTTCACCAGACGATGAAAATCGGGTCGTGGTTTTGCACAATCAGCTAGAAAAGCAAATAGAAAATATTAGTCTGCAGATTTTTTACGAAACAACTCTACAATTACAGCAGTTCATCGGCAATTGCTTGTTATTGTGACTGTCGTCTCGCTGTCAAACGCACCATGCTCACCGGGATCGCTTTTGACTACAATGTGGACGTTATCTGCTGGTGCCATCTGCTGGCCATCATAATCACTAAACTGCTCATCACTGGGGTGGGAATTCAAGTGCACCACCTGGTACTCTATAATTAAACAAAACACTCATTACATACAAGAGATGGTATAACTTAATTTGTTTAAGTTCAAGATATATAATTTTTCTTATATGTGATATATGTAAAGATTATATGACAGCACATTCCAAGCAAAGAAGAACAGTATAGCACACATTATGCAATGATGAACGCTAAAGCATAAGCTACAAGGCAGTGTGCCTGCCCATCTATCTGTGACGTACCGCCATTTACTCTATTTAACATGAACGTCTCCGGAGAGAGCGACAGTAGAGTCTTGTAGGATTGCTCGTACACATGCCGCTCAGCTTGCTGGGACGTTGGCCAGGGTTTCTTGCTTGCCAGCAGCACCACATCATCGACAGACAACCTAGCCGTGAATAGGGTCCCTACATCGCCAATGCAAAAATAGCTCAGGTCAGTGTGATTAAAATCTCAGTTTCAGCGTTCGAAATTCAGTGGCACGTACTAGTTACTGTTGAACCTAACAATGTTGTTGTGGTAAACAATGATTTTAACTGAGCATTGGAGGTCAAAGTTTACACTTCAGCGTGAGAAACTAGCGGTCGCCCAGTCGCCAGTGGCGATTAGAAAATCGACCGGGCAACTGCTTGCTCGTGCCAGCTGGTCCGGCGGGGCGACTAGATAATCGCCGCACAGGAAATAAAAAATTTACCAAACTGATTATTTTGTTATTCTCTACTAACCTTCTACATTATTCTAATGAAATGAATGGTAAATTTAATCAAATATAGACTAAAAATAGTCAAATTCCGAAGCCTAAAGTCCATGCGAAGTACACAAACCCGCAATGTTTTTTTGTGTTCGATTTTCTAGGTCATGCTGTTAAACCTCGGCTAATTCGATAATACTGGGCATCCCTGACCAATCAGCGATCGCGTAATAAAATATGATAATTTATAGGAATAATGGGCGGTCTTCAGAGACCGCTGATCTTTGAAATCGACTTGCGGACTTGTTCCGATTTACTACGCATCAGTGTATTAAAACGAGTAAAAAATATAATTTGCTGATGAAAAGAAACAGAACATATATCTTCACTATCAAGATACTGTCATATTATGTAACTGAAACAAATTGCGTATTAGTACATGAAGATGGCAGCACCATCTAACAATAAACATCACTATCACTAATATTATTATTAATTATAATGTTGTTGTTTAACTTCCCTATTAATATTATATATCGTATTCCATTTATTATTAAGAATACCTTAGAATGCACATCACCAAATTGCACCATCCCCACCCCCTATAAAAACGTCCCCACATCCGAGTCATTCACTTTGCTACGACAGAAATCATGGACCAGTGCCTACTGACCAGGACCAGTGCCTCCAATTATCAGTTTTTCACCCTGCACTTACTGCGTTATTAAATCTGGATACCGATTGGGAAGGTGTAACTAGAATAGAAGTAACTCCTACTCTCTTACAGCAGTAAAATCAATGTGTACTCAAGTGTGATTCTTTCTATTACATGACACATTTGTTCAGCAATGATCAGTGCTTCAACAAGTACAGTTGTTTAGCAAATAGATCAGGTTGACAGTGTACCATGTTACATGTACAATAATATGCTGGTTCAGTCAGTAAATGCCGTGCACCAATTGCATTATGAGAACTGCAGCAAGTGACCTTCTTATTTATCATGGTGCCTCAGAAATTGGGTGATTACCACCAACTATTTCTGTTCTATATGGTTTGCTTATGTTCCCTTTCCATAAATTCCATGCTTATAACCATGCAGCCCTCGACACTAACGGTTGTCCGATTGCCCGGGGCAAGTGAAAGTCTACGTCGGACAAGTTATTCTCTTGGCTAGTTGCCCGATCGGACAAGTGAAAAATTCTAGTTGTTTAATATTCCTAATATCATTTGAGCCAGGCCGCTATATCGCACGATATCCTCGCGTTCTATTATCGTTCTTATCAAAGGTCGCCGAAAAAAGCAGCGCATACACCCCTGTCACTCACTTTTACAGATTTACTAACAGCGCGCCGCGCGGCAGGCGTGGCAGCGCGGCAGCGCGTGCAGCCTGGCTGCGTACACGTTCCTAGCTGTGGCGGCATTGATTGATGTACGGGGGGGGGGCGAATGCACTGATTGTCTGTGGGGGGGAAGGCGAAAACTCTTTCCTGGAATTGTGGAAAGAAACTACAATCGGGAATGACACCCAATGAGCGTGCCGCCGCGCACAGGTGTCAGATTCCTGCATTTCATCGCGAATCTCATTTCGGTGAAAATGTCTAAGCAGACGAGTTAGCCAAGTTTTTCAAGTTCCTTAAGCGGAAAAACGACTGATGCTGCGCAAGCAAGAAAGAGTATAGAGAAAAAGAGGAAGCGAGGCATGGGTGCCAAGCTGGGCAAATACATTTCCGGTCTGCGTGACACGAAAAATGGTAATAAATTAAACTTACTTTTGATATTTGATGAAATGCATATCATTCGATTGGGAAGGGCAGTAGGAGAGGGGATAATTGCTGCTATCTTTATTTAATGTTGACTGTCGCCTTGAAAAATAAATATGTAGATATTTTTGCACCCCATTTCTTTTAATCATTTGTAATAAAAATGCCAAACAAATTAAAAATGAGAAGAATTTTGAAACTTAACTCCGCCTACTTAAAATCCCTTTTATTTATCAATTAAGTTCGGTTGGAATAAGTTTTTATTTATTTAATGTTATCAACTCATATTTTACTTAAATTTAAATGAAAAAATTTAGTGGGTTTTATTTTTAATACTGTCTTGTTGGTCTACCCAACTACGGTTCTCATTTGTGGCACTTGTGAAAAGTGGAAGATAAAGCAGGGCAACAGCGTTTGTAGAGGGTGCAAGAGCTATAGGTTTGACTCCATCCAGGCACACTTCTTCAAACAGCAGGCACTTATGTGTAGAGAGGCAGAGATAGTGGCAGAAAGACGAGGCAGCTGACTACAGGCAGACCTGGTCGCGATGGATGCTATCCTCAACAACAAGCTATGGATGAAGAGTTAGAAATCATGAAAAGAATGTTGAATACAGCATATTTTGTCATGCATTATGAAATGCATGGACAATCATATCCTCAACCCCTTTATCTAGACCTCCAAATCAAGAATGGATCTAATCTAAATCGCTTGACATCATATGCATACTGATAAAGCATGTGCCAGGTTATTTTTTCCATAATAATAATTCATAACAAATAGTGTGTATCTCATACTTTGCTACCTCATTTTCAATGTACCTCGATCCCTTGCGAGATAACTTACTATAAATAATAATAACCAAGGGCTATATCTTGTAAAACAAAAAAAAAATTGATTTTCTTCTTTTCTTTTCGATACGTCAAGTCAAATAATTGTTACAGACTTGACACAATTTGTAATCATTTTCTTTAAACAGATTTGGGACACACATTGCTGAAGCAATTCGAGAGCCCATTCGAGTGCCCTCCGTGATGCCAAGAGTCTAGCTGCTGATGTTTGATGGGGCTACTGGTAGCAGTATTTCTGAAGTAGAAATAATCTACTGTAGGCTTGTTAAAGATGGAATTCCAACTGACTATTTTATTGGTTTAGAAGACTTGGAGCATGCCCATAGCCAGGGTGTTTACGATGCTATTAATTTAGCCATGACCAAGTTTGGTTGTCCTGACTGGTTAGATAAAGTCATTGGTGTAGGGTGTGATGGGGCAGCAGTAAATATTGGTAATAAGAATAGTGTGAAAACAAGATTACTTCAGGAGTGTCCACATCTTGTTGTTACGCATTGTGTAGCGCACCGGCTCGAACTCGGTGTATTAAATGCTATTAAAGAGAATGAAATGCTAACGACTGTTAAGGATATGTTGCTGAAAGTGCACAAGCACTACCATTATTCCCCCAAAGCATTGAGAGAGCTGAGGGCCATTGCAAATGCCATGGATGAGCGTTGCATTAAGCCCAAACGCCTGCAAGGTACAAGGTGGCTGCCGCATATTATGAAGGCATCAAAAGCACTAATGGATGGCTACGTTCCTGTGAGGGCTCACTTCGAGCATGTGTCGCAAGCAGGTCCAAACCAAGCCACGGCAGAAGTCAAGGGGAGAGCTACCTACTTGGCCAACAAGCTCAAAGACTACAGGGTACTACGGTTTATGGTATTTCTGGAAGATCTGCTGGAAATTGTCAGTGCCCTCAGCCTGAAATTCCAGTCCAGTTGTCTCACTTCCGTCGACTACCTTGATGCTCTGGAAACTGCCAACCTCATGCTGGTTCAGCTCCGCCAACAGCCAGGTGACCACTACAATGCCTTCACTGCAAATATTGTGCAGTCTGGTGATGGGGACTGGGAGTACAAAGGCCACAAGCTGCTTCACTACCAGCCACATGCCTACAACTTCGACAACACCATCGATGCAGTCATGGAGAGGATGAATGGTAGGTTACAGAATCAAGACCCTATCCTCAGCCAAGCTCGAGTATTTGATTGTAAAGACTGGCCACGTGACAGACAGGAGCTTGCCGTGTATGGTAATGAACAAGTGGCAGCACTGACCAGGCACTTTTCCACTGTGCTCACTAAGCGTCAGTGCGATATTGCTGCAATAGCAAACGAATGGACACAGGTGAAAGCTCACTTGGGAAGAAGGATGGCTAACAATCCCAGAGTTCTGCCATCCATCTCAGTGATCTTCCCATTGGGTGAAATGTGCAGCAATCTGCTCCATCTCGTGGAAATTATACTCACTATTCCTGTCTCGACAGCTGTGTGTGAAAGGGGGTTTTCCGCTGTGAAGAGAATTAAGTCCGATTGGAGAGCCAGCCTCACAACCGAAACGATGACGCGTCTGTTAGGGGTGTCCATGGAAGGCCCTACTTTGGATGCCTATGACGCTGGAAAAGCTATGGATCTTTGGTGGACCAGGGCTCAGCGGTCAAGACGCCCCCAGTTCCATGACGCTGATGATGATGATGATGATGATGATAATGATCTCTGGTGATGTTAGCTGCCAAGTTTGCTACACGTAATACAGCTTGTTGCATTCCTACATATCACGTCTGTTTAGTTAACCTGAATTTACCTGACTCACCCATCACCTATATTGATGTGATGAAATAAACCATATTTCTGTGTAGTATTACTCACTTTGTTTGCCTTCTTATTTGATGATACAACAAAATAAACGTCGTGTAAATTTCATTATGAATTTCCACGTATATACTGTAATACGATATGCACTGACCCAAAAATGGACCTTGCAAGTATGCAAAAAATGCAAGTAAATTTCGGACAAGTAAAATCAAAATTCGGACAAGTAAAAATTGCTTCTTGTTGCCCGACAGGACAACCAGATATGAAAATAAGTGTCGAGGGCTGCCATGTATATAAACATTTACTCCCTATCCCATATGAAGTGTTGATAAAACGAATGTTGCCTTGGTGACTCTACCTTGTAAATCTTTGCCTTGGTAGCCATTCAATTTGCCTTACCTTAGAGAAAAACATTAGTTTGACCCCTGCTACATGCAAATTGCACACACCTGTTACATGATTATTAGACATGATCTTCACATTTATAGATGTGGCAATGTCACTGCCAGCACGATCTATAGCATGGCGTGGAGAGCATGGAAGCTTGTCCTCTCTCTGCAGAGCTGCTGCCATCTGAAGTATTGGTGACTGATCATTCAGATCCTTGTCTATTATGAAATATACTGCAAATAAATGTATACTATCTTGTAGGAAATGTATTTGTTCTACCACAGACATATAGTTAAACCTCAACCTACATGTAACATGATTACTTGTTATATTAACAAGTGCCGCAGAGCGACAGGGCTCATCTGGTGTCTGGTGTTCTGCTGATAAATTCATTTGTGCATAGCAAGACGTCCTATACATACGTTCATTTCTAACCCAAAAAAACAACACTTCAAACTAGTGTAATAAAATTCCGATAGATGGCGGGCCGCTATCAAAGGCATCGTTGCATCGGTCAGCAAAAGCATTGCAGCAATGGCAGCTGTCAGTGTGACGACGGATTGCAAAAAGCAAGAGCGAATAATTACCATATTATTATTATACATAACGTGCGTTCTATGGTTTCAGGTAATAAGGTATATTAAACCCCTTGCGAGGCACATCTGGCTCGTTAAAAATAGCTCAATGGTTGATACAACCAGAGGCAGAGCAGCTCGTGCAAGATTACAATTTACAGCAATACGATAGCAAATATCTCTAAACTAATTTCAGTACAAGATAGGCCAGTGATTAGTGGACCGAATAAGCTCAAGAACGTACACACTTGCGTCTATATTGGTGCCAAAATTTGATGAGAAAATTAAGTCTGGGAAATCCGCAGCCTCACTCTTGGGTAATTATTTGAGTGCTAG